TTTTATACCTTATAAAACTGTCCTTCAGAAACAGAGAAGAAACACTTTTCCAGACAAACAAAAGCGAAGGCAGTTCATCTTCAATAGATCTACCTTACAGAAATACTAGAGGAAGTTCTTCAAGTTGAAATTAAAGGGCACTAAGTAACAATATGAAAATATATAGTAGGAGAAAACAATTGGTAAAGGTAAATATATAGTCAAATTCAAAATACTCTAATAATTTAATGATGGTTTGTAAATCACTTTTATCTCTCGTATAAAGTTAAAAAGCAATCGTAAGAAAAATATTACAGCTAAAATACTTTGTAAATAGATGCACATTACAAAACAATGTAAAGTATAACATAAGTGTCATTTAATGTGAAGTAAGAAGTACAATGATAGTTTCCACATGTGATTAAAGGCAAGTTGTTATCAGCTTAAAATAGACTCTTATAGATACAAGTTATTTTATGAGAGCCTCATGATAATCAAACATAAAAACATATAACTGATACTCAAAAGAGCAAAAGAAAGATTTAATGCACACCACTATAAAAAAAGTCACAGAGGAAGAAAGAAACAAACTGTTTAGAAAGATTTTATTTACTTATTTTTTGAGAGAGGGGAAGGTAGGGAGAAAGAGAGGGAAAGAAACAAGGTGTGGTTGCTTCTTGCACACCCAAACCTGGGGACCCAGCCTGCAACCTAGCCCTGACTGGGAATCGAACGGGCAACCCTTGAAACAAAGTAATTTTTAAAAAGTCATAAAACAATTAACAAAATAGTAATGGTAAGTCCTTTTCTATCAAAAATTAAGTATCAATGGACTAAATTCTCCTATCAAAAGACACAAAGTAACTGAATGAATTTTAAAAATCCAAAAGTATGCTGCCTTTAAGATAGGTTGAAAGTGAAGGGATGGACAAAGATAATCCATGCAAACTGTAACCAAAAGATAGCAGGAATGGCTATATTTATATCAAATTAAATAGACTTTGCATAAAAATCACTAACAAATGCCAAAGAAGGTGTCTGTACCATGATAAATGTCAATTCATCAAAAGGATATAAAAATTATAAATATTTATACACACAAGAGCATCTAAATATATAAATCAAATATTAACAAACCTGAAAGGAAAAGTAAACAATACATAATAAATAGTAGGGGACTTCAATACCTCATTTTTAACACTGGATAGGTTATCCAGGCAGTAAAACTGGCTATCATAAGCAGTGTGTGCTTGACCAGTGCTGCAACTAGTTTCCATAGTTCTCTTAAAGAGGGCGTCTCTAATATGCTGGTCTACAGTTTTCCAAGTGGTAAACCAAGGAGCTAGACCATCAGCAATATCATAAGAGTTAGGTCTCAGTAAAAACATAATTATAGTTCATGAAGGAGATAATGCCCAGAGTTACAAGAAGAGCCTTGAATCTGCCACTCAGTAGAATGACCATGTCTATATTTTGTTCTGCACAGCTGATACTAAGGTTGAACAGCAATGGTAATCCAGCGGACACCTTTAGGTTTCAATTTCAGTGAACTATCCATAACCCAAGACCAGACACTGAGGACACCATATGAGAATATAGGGCCACAGTGAGGAAGTGGGTCTACTTTAGATACTGGAATGAAGACGAAGCTTCCCCCAAGAGATTCCTGTCAGTTTTTCATGCAAAGCTAAGATACTTCTGGGGCCAACTGGCTGCCTTCTTAAATATTCCATTTCTAGTTGACAAGCAAGGCTTGTTGGGCCCTTCCCACCTTGTTATACATAGAGTCTAGGATGACCTATCCCAAAATGGGAATGTCTGGTCAAAATCCCAAGACCTGTCTGGGTCAGCAGCAGGCAAAGAGATGCTTTTCAAAAAGGGTTTACCTAGTACCTAGTACTAGGTACTTCTTTTCAAGAGGAAAGAAGATTTTCAAGTACTTTTTACCAGGCCAGCATTATCCTAATTCCAAAACCAGATAAAGACACTACAAAGAAAGAAAAATTATAGACCAATATCCCTAATGAAGATAGATGCAAAAACCTTCAATAAATATTAGCAAACTGAATCCAGCAATACATTAAAAAGATCATATACCATGATCAGGTGGGATTTATTCAAGGAATGCAAGGTTAGTACAATACCTGCAAATCAATAAATGTGATAAACCACTTGAAAAAAAATGAAGTATAAAAACCACATGATCGTATCAATAGGTGCAGAAAAAGCAACTGACAAAATCCAGAACTCATTTATTAAAAACTCTTAGCAAAGTAGGAATAGAGAGAACATACTTAATGTAATAAATGCCATATAAAACAAACCCCAACCAACATCATATTCGATGGGCAAAAAATACAAGCATTTCCAGTAGGATCAGAAATAAGACAGGGATATTCACTTTCAACAGTCTTATTCAACATAGTACTGGAAGTCCCAGACATAGCAATTGGACAAGATGATGAAATAAAAAGGCATCCAAATTGGAAATTAAGAAATAAAACTCTCATTATTCGCAGATGACATGATACTGTATATAGAGAACTCTATGAAGATTTCACTAAAAAAATTACTAGAACTGATAAATGAATTCAGTAAAGCAGCAGCATACAAAATAAATATCCAGAAATTGGTTTCATTTTCATACAACAATAATATACTATCAGAAAGGAAAACTAAGAAAACAATCCCATTAACAATTGCTTCAAAAAGAAAATGCCTAGGACTAAATTAAACCAAGATGTAAAAGACTCATACTCAGAATAAGACACTGAAAAAAGTAGTTGAAAAAGATACAAATAAGTGGAAGGATATATCATGTTCTTGGATAGGAAGAATCAACATTATTTAAATGTCCATACAACCCAAAGGAATCTATAGATTCAATGCAATTCCTATGAAGATATCAATAGCATATTTCACAGAACTAGAACAACTATTCCAAAAAATTATATGGAACCACAAAAGACTCCGAAGAGATCAGTGATCTTGAGAAAGAAAAACAAAGTTGGAGGAATCAGGCACCTGATAGCAAAATATACTACAAGGCCATAGTAATCAAAACAGCATGATGTTGGCATAGTAATCAAAACAGCATATTGGTGTATGTATAACAGACATATATATCAATGGAACAGAATAGAGAGCCCAGAAATAAACAACTTTAAAATCAGTATTTGACAGAAGAGGCAAAAACATACAATGGGGTAGTTTATTCAATAAATGATGTTGGGAAAATTGGACATATATGTGCAAAAAATGAAACTAGACCACCTTTTTATACCATCCACAAGAATAAATTCAAAATGGATTAAAGACTTAAATGCTAGACTGGAAAGCATACAAATCCTAGAAGAAAACACAGGCAGTAAAATTTCAGACATTTCTCCTAACAGTATTTTTTCTAATATATTTCCCCAGGCAAGGAAAACAGGAGAAACACTAAACATATGGGACTACATCAAACTAAACATTTTTTGCACAGCAAAGGAACCTGTCAACGGAATGAAATGACAACCCACTGACTAGGAGAACATATTCGCAATGATATATCATATAAGGAGTAAATATCCCAAATTTATAAAGAACTTAACACCAAAAAAAGCAAACAATCCAATTAAAAAATGAGCAAAGGAACTCAAGAGATTCTTCACCAAAGAGGGAAATCATGTTCAACTAATCAGCAGAGAAATGCAAATTAAAACCACAATGAGAGTAAAACCTCACACCTGTCACATGGCTATCATCAATAAATCAACAAACAAGTGTTGACAATGACGTGGAGAAAAGGGAACCTTTGTGCACTGTTGGTGGGAATGCAGATTGGCACAGCCACTGTGCAAAATGGATGGAATTATCTCAAAAAATTAAAAACGGAAGTGTTTTATGACCCAGTGATTTCATTTCTGTGAACTTATCCAAAGAAACTTGAAACATTAATTCAAAAGAACATATGCACCCCTATGTTCACTGCAGCATTATTTACCAGGGCCAAGATTTGGAAGCAGCCAAAGTATTTATTAGTAGATGAGTGGATAAAAAAGGTATGGTACATTTACGTAATGGAATACCACTTGGCCATAAAAAAAAAAAAAGGGGAAATCTTACCCTTTGCAACAGCATGGATAAACCTGGAGAGCATTATGCTAAGTGAAATAAGCCAGTAAGTGAAAAGTGCCAAACAATTTCATTCATATGTGGAATCTAATAAAACAGCAAAATAGAGACAGACTTAGAGAGCAGGCTGACAGTTGTTGGGGGTCAGGGGGACTGAGTAGGGGTGGTGGAGGGATTAAGCAAAAAGAAAAAAAAGAGAAAACTCATGAGGGGCAGAGACAGGAGGGGAGGTAGGAGGGGATAAAGGGGGCATAAATGGTGATGAATGGAAATTTGACTTGGGGTGGTGAACACACTGTGTACAGGTAATGTGTTGTAGAAGTTTGCACCTAAAACACGTGTAATTTTAACCAGTGTCACCCCAAAAAATAAAAAGTAAATAAAATATATTTTTTAAATTTAAAAAAAAAACTCTTCTTTCCTCCTTTGGCACTTTTATTGAAAATCAACTGACCATCAATTAAGTACTTCACATAACACAGCTAATCCAATTAGAGTTGTAAACTCCAGGGTGAGGCAGATGATACTCTGACCTGGGTTCATAACAAATAACCTGCTTCAAAGGGATGCCCTGAGGGTCTCCAGTGTGCTAGGCACCATTTAAAAACCTTCCCATCAATCAGTCAGTCAGTCAGTCATGTATGCAAACCGAAGAAAATATGAACATGAAATTTTTAATGTGATCTCTGTTGGCTACTACACTATAGTATTATTCAGGTGCATTTATATTTTTATACTACCCATATTAATTACATTTTACTTAATTCCCAGCATTATGGGAATCTTGATTTCACATACTTATTAATTTCTCTGCTAAACTACTTTATTTTAGATGGGTACATTAGTTAGGATTCTGCATTGAGCATTTCAGAAAACCCAAATGAAATTAATGGCTCATCTCTCACCGTTTGCCTCTTGGATAATGCCGCACATATTCTCCAACATCATGAGCAGCAACAGCTAAGACCTGCGGATCATCTGATACCTCCAGAAGTTTTGTCAAAATTCTGAAAAAAATTTAATCCAAAAAGAGATCAATTTTTGATTCTTCTATAGAGCACAAAAAAGCACAGGTATAACACAGATATCTTCCTGAAAATAGATGTTTATAAATACAATCGTATTTTCTACAAATTTCACTGCAACACAACACATTACACATAATGTTACACATGAGTTAGCAGCTTTCTAACAAATATAATAGGTTAATTTCAGATTCACAATGTGTACCATGCACAATTCTCAAAATATCAGGGACTCCTCCTGCTCTCTTAAGATAACTCCACTCAGATATAAATGAGGTCTGTCCAGAAAATATCCATCCATGTAATATGAAAAATAGAGGCATTTATTGAAGAAGAAACAAGAAACACTGTACATAGGACAATGACTCTTCAGTCCCCTTCAAAGTAGGAACCTTGGGACCTCACACAGCTCTCCCAGTCATTGTCAGCTGCCCTGTCATATTTTTCTGAATCTCACTGATGGTCTAATATCTCTTCCCTTCCAAAGGTGATTGAAGCTTTGGGAAAACCCAGATGTCACAGGGCACTAAATCTAGGCTGTAAGGGCGCTGAATCACCTGGGTGATTTGATGTTTTACCAAAAAACTCTGCACGAGACATAATGCATGATGAGCAGGTGCACTGCCAGGATGAAGCTGTAATTACCAGTTGCCCATAGCTACGGCCTTCTGAATCATCCAAATAGTTTCCACAGAGGAATGTTCAATCTTAACACAAAATGTGATACAAATTTGTTGCTCTCCTCACTCAGTCATTTTGAATGTGATGGCCACACATGCTCACTCAACAGTGTCTACCTCCCCCACAGACTAGTACAGTGAAGCCATCATTGCTCATGCATGTGCATTCCAGTCCACTCTCCTTGGCTGCCAGGTTATATCGATGTCATGTGAACCATTTTTGTTATATTAACTATGGTTGAACTTTTTTTGGACAGACCTCTCATATAATACCTTACACTTGCAGGAGTGTCCAACCTTTTGTCATCTCTGGGCCACACTGGAAGAAGAAGAGTTGTACTGGGCCATACATTAGATACACAAACACTAGCAAAAACTGATTAGCAAAAAAAGGGTTTTAAGTAAATTTATGATTTTGTGTTAGGCCACATTCATAGCCATCCTGGTCCACAGGCCATGGGTTGGACAACCCTGACAAAATTAGAGAACTGAATCTGGCAGAACACTGAGAAAACACCTTTTGTTCAGTTCTCATCTCAAATGCCAACTCTAGCTTAAGGTTTATGAGGCCTGAGTTGCCCTAAGACACTACCCTCGTCCTCATCATTCTCTATCTACTCTTCCTGACTTATTTTTCTCACAGTATTAATCACCAACCTGCCATTATATTATATATTTACTTCAGTTCTTGTTTAGTCTTTCTCTCCCAAATATAATGTAAGTGTAATGAGAATAATAATTTTATTTTATTTGCTGTTGTATCTACAACCCCTAACAATAACACAACAGATGTAAAACAAACACTTGCTGAAAAAAAATGAATAAATGAAGTATAAAATGGTATGCTGCTGATTGGAAAAAACAATTTTGATAGCTCCTATTGGAATTAAAAATACACAGACCTGATCCAGCAATTCTAAGAATCAGTCCTACAGAAATACATTCACATTCGCACAAAGGTGTCTATGAACACTATCTTAAAAAATGAATAAGGGAAAAGACCAGAGAGTGGGGTACATTAGGCTTTTTTCTCCATTTCTTCTTCCCTGTTTTTTTCTCCACAACAACGATAATTTTGTGTACAAAGCAGTTAAACATCCACCATTTTATCTAATCCCTACTACTAAGATTATTAGTTTTCCCTAACAGAGAGGTAAGCTGAGGCTCAATGAAATTAAAGTGGCCAAATTTTTTTTTTAAATTAAGAGACCCCAAGTCAGAATAAATGAAAGAGAAAAGTCACAGACTAATACATTTACCATGGTGACATGTATAAATAATTATATAAAAATGCAGTACAGGTATGTCTAGGAACAAAAGAAAACTGAAGACTGTAACACCTATTGACTCTGGTTACTACAGAAGAGGAGTTGGAAATGGAACAACAGTGAAGAAAACCCCTTCACTTTAGTTACATATGCCTTCAAGAGTACCTGATGACTTGTCCCAGGTTAGAGATATAACTTAGAATACAAAGATCTCAAAACACACACACGCATACATTTTCTAAAGTTACTTAATTTTACCAAGATGCTCAAGATGTTACTTTCCCTTATATTGCTATTTTTAAATTAAGTTGAAATTTTAAGTTTAAAATATTTAAGAGAAAATGTTTGAAACCATTTAGTTGTCTGGTCACATAGAAACTATTCATTTACAAATTTCTTTGTAAAGTCTTATTTCTTAAAGTCTTTACTAGAAAACAGCTTGAATCACAACTATCTTTGCTCACATCATTTTCATTAAAGCAGATACTTGAAAGTAATAAAACTCTACCTTGTTCAAAAGCTGTATGAATCTATGAAGCTTGCTCATTCAATTTCTGGAACACCACCTAAAGACTGTTTAAGGTTTCTTTACCTACTTTCTTCTATTACCATCTCAGCCTGTCAAATAGCTAAACTCTATAAACAACAGGAGGCACTGATAAAGAACCTGTTGTCAATCCAGAAACATTTCATTATAAAGTAATTCTACATCTTCTAATAAACTAACCGGGAAATGTGCATTTCCAAATAATAAAGGATAAAGGAAGGAGCATTTACAATACACATGCATGTTCCAAAGTCTATAAATCATATTCCTCAAAACAACCCCAAAACGAGGAAATGAGACCCAGAGAAGTTAGGTAATCTGCTAAAGACCCAGCAAATGTTGAAACTGAGATTTGAACTATTATCTGCCAACTCTAGACCACACAAAGCACAACCACACCCCGACAGCAGTTCATTCAACCCAAGCATATGAAAACCCACTAGGAAAAAAACAAGACTTACATTCAATCTCCCACACATTTATATTTTTTAAATTTCAAACAATGTTTTTAAAAGGTTAACTTGCAAATTATTCCAAAATTAACTTTAATTGAATTCAATTGAAGCATTTAAATATTTTCAAAAGATTAAACTATTTTAATGTTGTTTTATTATTTTGGAATTTTAAGAAATTATTTTGTGAAATAATAAGAAAACAATAACACAGGAGTCCTTAAAAGCATATCAGAACATTTGTTCTGAATACCTTAAACCAGAGGTCAGCAAATTACAGCTGAAGTCCAGCAGCCACTATTTTTATAAGTAAAGTTTTAGGGGAACACAGCTACACTCATTTGTTTGCCCATTGTCCATGGCTGCTCTGGCATTGTAAGGACAGAGCTGAGCGGTGTGACAGAGATTGATCTCCCAGTTTGGAAGAAGGTGTAGAATTACTTCACAATGAAATGATTCCTGGATTGATAACAGGTTCTTTATGAGTGCTTCCTATTGTGTATACAGTTTAGCTATTTGACAGGCTAAGATGATGACAGAAAAAGGTAGGCAGAGAAACCTTATCAAAAATGCTGACTCACAAACCCAACACTAGGTCTACTAAGTTAGAATCTGCCTTTTAACAAGATCACCATAAACGTTTAAAAAGCATACTCTTAGAATCAAAGGATGTTAGAATCAGGAGTCATAGAGACTTTTCCAGTCAAATATCCTGATAAACACGGAAATAATTTTAATGGTTATCTTGAGGGCCATGCAGTCTGCTGAATATCTCTTACAAGAATAAAAATATCTTCATAATATTATCTGTAAGTCTGCTAAGCATGCTTTCTATTTCAAATCATCAATAAAAATGTCCAAAAAAATAGGTTCAAAACAAGAGATTGTTGGGGTAAGCAAAGAGAGAGCCTCCTCCAAGATAACCCTGAATACAAGCTGTTATATCAAGAATGGATTCATCATAATCCAAATTTCTATCACCACATTATCCACAAGCAGAAATTTTGTCAAATACTCCAATGGGATCAAGACAGCAATATATCACAGCTCTGGAATTAGAACAAATATGAATGCTGACTCTGGTATTTGCTAGAAATGAAATCTTGAAAAGAGTCTATTCAAATCCCAAATAGAATTTACATTATTATTCTAACTGATCACTTCACATATTTGCTCTTGTTCTCTTTCACAATATTTTTCCACAATTTGGTCATCTTGCTTGCTCCCTTGGGCTTTTGCTTTGCTCTTAATCATAATCTGCATGGTTTCTTGTATTTCAGAATATTTCTTCATTCAAATTACATGCTTATTTAATAACCATAACATACATGATTACAAAGTATTTTCTGAAAACTACTATACTCAAAAGTGATAGGGGCAAAAACCAATTTGTATCACATACTTGCTAAGTTTAGAACTGCCTGGAAAATATCTTTAGAGCAGTTCTCCATAGATAAAAATCTGGGCTTTTTAAATAGCAGAAAAAAAAATTAAGATTCCACTTGTATCTCTTTAATCAGCTACTTTGAAGGGCAGCACTAGAATGCCCTTCAGTATCCCACACAGATAATTTAAGGGAATAAAAACTAAAGGCAATCAATAACTTCACATTTCTAATCACATTATCATAGAATAAAACTATAATGCCACATGCCATTGTTTCTGGTTATTGAGAAAAATCACAAAGGGTCATACAAAGGTAAAGGAAGCAATTTAAGGGAACCATAAAAATTAAAATCTACTGCTAGAAAATAAAACATGCACTTCAAAAGGCTCTTCAAGCCTGTTATAATAAAAATTCATGTAATGTTTTAATAATAATTTATTAAAAACTCCCTCTGTTAAATTTAAGTTTTACAAAGATGAAATTTTTTTAAAAAATTATTTGAGCTTATTCAGTGGTTGTGAAATACTCTAAGTGGCATACTGAAAGGATAATCCACTCTTTCCCCCTACCTATTTTCCATCATCCATACAACATCTACCATTCATTCACTTTGGTTTGGCATACTTTGTTTAAATAAGAATATCATTT